GAGTGCCAGAAGATATGCCAGATAGAATGTCAGAAAATATGCCAGATAGAATGTCAGAAGATATGCCAGATAGAATGTCAGAAGATATGCCAGATAGAATGTCAGAAGATATGTCAAAAGATATGCCAGATAGTGCCAGAAGATATTCCAGCTAGAAAGGGTTACGGTGGGGATCCCTCGAAGCAAAGTAATTTTGGACTTTTTTACGTAGCCTGCCTTTTGATCATAGTATCATCGTTTCCTTGATGTTATGTATGGTGAAATTGTCGTCCAACCGCCAGCAATGTCAAGCTTCTTCTGGGGCGAGGAAAGAGCAAAAGATTCAGGGGTGAGGAGAGAGTTAAAACTACAAGTGCCTAATGCACCCAATTCGCGTTCGCATGCTGCGAGTAGCAGAAACCAGTGACGCTCCTGCACTCAGAGGGTGCGGCATTAAAACGCTGAAACGCTAAAACGCTATTTTAAAAAAAGAGTCTGTACATAGCTGGTCTTTTTGAAGCGAGGTGTGCTTGAACTGGTGTTTGGTTGAAAAGCTGTTTCGGGCCAGCACGACCAGTTGCATCCGCACAGGTGTGCTGCCTAGAGTGCCCGTACTGGAAGTTTGTCTTGCGCATACCTGGCTCGAGTTGCCCCACTGGATAGTGAAAACTAGGTTTCAAGCCAACACAACCAAACGTGCTCGCGCAAAAAGATCTCCTGACACTAAGTTTTACTAGGTTTTAAGCAAATGCAAAAATATCGCGTTCTCATAGTACAAGAACTCCGGCCATAAGCGCATAAGTCCCATTACGAACCTCACGCCAGTCCTATGAATCGAGGCCGAACACTAACGCTGATTCCAATGTCAACAGGGTGTTCAAGGCACCATCCCGCATCGCCTGTGCGCGTCTGCCTGGAGGGTTCGTTGAAGTTTTTTTGAAACCATGAAGAACTTGAAGCAACCGTGGCTGGGCAACATGAGATTCTCCAGGTTCGGATTTGATGCTTTGCATCTTGGGCCCCATCTTGGCATAATGAACTCGTGCCATCTCTTGCAAGAGGAAAATCAAAGGATCAAATTTGTCGGAATGTCCTCGAAAGCAGCCACAGCATCTCATCGCGTAAGGTCCCACAAACATCCCATGCAGCTACAATATTTTTCCGTTAAGGGAGCCAGCCACAGGGCCAAGCTCGTGATACCTACATGAACTTGAAGCTTCAGCGAAACATGGTGAGACCATTGCGCATCAAATGAATGTCGGAATTGGGCAACATTTGAGCACATGGCCAAACAATGCCAGACAATGTCAAACAGTGTTTCACCCATCGCATGTTGGTAAAGTTTTGCCAAGGCACTCAGTTGTTCTTTCACATCTTTGAAGGCCTCTTGCTTGGACTTGGTCGGCTTGGTTGTAGCAGCAATATCTTGCAGCCTCCTTTCTTGCGCAGCCCTTCTTTCTGCAGCCTGGAAACCTTCCATGGCGCAATTGTCACAGTGAAATGTCGCGAAAAGTGTCGTCCATCAGGACATGTCCGGTGTGCTCGTCTTGGAACACCTATGAAAATCTTATTGAAATCTTATTGAAATCTTATGATGCCCCTGTGAGTCCCTGTGGGTTTCTGCGGGTCCCTGTGGGTCCCTGTGGCCTCGAAAAAGTCCTCTCAGAGTCTTAGTGGGGTGAACCAGCTTAGAATAGTCCGATAGCCCGATAGTGATTACATTGCTGCGCAGGTCTACCGGTCTGCCATCGCCTGGAGCTGTGAATTTCTTCATGAGTCCTTCTTTCAATTTCTCCCAGTGCTTCGGCTCTGCATGCTTTGGATCAAAGAAAATCTCCACTGCTTCACGCAAGACCACGCGACTCAAAGGTTCTGTGAAAGCCAGGGCAGGCATGGTCGTGGAAGTCTTGGTTTGATCTGTTTTTTTCGATGGTACTTTCATAGCTTCCATTGCTTCCTTTGCTCCTGGCAAAGCACTACATGTTGGTAGGGATCCGACCTCTGCAAGATATTGATCTGTGAAGATGATATCAAGTTGAAAGATCTGATGGATTTCGATCCGATGAAATGTGATCCCCTAAGGTTCACTACAAAGATCAGGCCACACCTCAAGTGACCAAAGAAGCAGCGCACCCTATGGCACGCTCACACAACACTTTTCCGAGCTCTGCGATATGTTATCGCGTTGGCAAAACGGTTCCCTACGATCCAAGCCAAAGCAACGGAGGAGATGGTTCGACCTGTACATGACATGCAAGGCAAGAGGTGGAGGCAAACTGACTCTCTAAGCTTAGAATCTGACATGCCCCAAACTCTTTTGCCGAAGACTCTTGCTTTGCAAGAATCTTTCTTTTCTTTGAGCTCGTGAACAGTGGATCATCAACCAATGTCCACACGCCCTTTGACAAAACTTGCGTCAAAGAGGAATTTGCAACTGGCTTCGTAAGGCTATCAGCGATTTGGGCGTCGCTGCGCACCCACCGTGTGATGGTTTGACCACGCTCCAGTCTTTGAAACACGCTCATCATGTCTAAAATACTGCATTTCTCCTTCAAACAGCCAGCCATGCCTGGACCCTTTTTGGATCACGTCAAAAAGAGACCTAGCATCTGTGACTAATACGCCCTTGACTAACGGCAACACAGAAACAGGGTTGTGGATAGGTACGGTTTCACCGCACATTTCCAACCACTCCATCCGAACCATCATTAGTTCCTCCTCAGCTATGGAAAAGGCTTGGATTTCAGCACTTAAGGAACTACGAGCTACCCTAGGAAGTCTACCAGATTTCCAACTAATCGGACAAACTTTGCTCGGTGTGCCATCTAAGATTCGAGGATCGCATGCCCCAATGAAATATCCACCAGAACTTGCAAACCCCTTCCGGTTTCCCACTGCAGCATCAGTCCATGCTACAAAAACTGTGTCTAACGGCTCTTCATGTTCTAAAGGCTCATACCTCAAACCAAAATGGCGTTGAGCGTACATTTCTCTCACAAGCTTGTTGGTCTCCTTGAGTGTTTGAATGGTAGGAGCTACCAACTGACTCTGCAACATGCTAAGTCTAGCGCCATGAATGGGACCTGATTGATAAACTCTCCATTGCGCCGCCCCCAACACTGCTCTCAGTTGTTGATGCTCTTCCGGGGTGACCGACTCTTTGTCACTCCGATTTCGGTCAAACTTGATCGGTTGAATCTGAGCGCAGTACTCAGAATGATCCAGGACTGTTGTTCCATTCTGATGTTGGATGACCTGTATACCGCAATGCATGTATGTGTCAGCTTCCCAAGGACTCCACTGGTATGCATCATACACATGTTGGATTGCTCTCTGATAGGTAGGGTGTGAGGATTCCCCAGCAAACAAAAAGTCATCAACGTGTGCACATGCCAGTCCTATCACAACAGGTTTTGAGCCACTTCTGTCAACTAACCGCCAAGCACAAGCATCAGTCTGCAAGACCTCAAACCCAGCTTCCAACATCGTCTTGGAAACTGAAACATGCCACTGGGAAGGAGCGTTCACCAATCCGTAGCAAGCCTTCAAATTTTGATAAAATTTGCACGTATGATTGGTCATCGCCACCTAGCGCTTCTGACAACTCTTTCACTAGACGAGCAAAAATCTCTCGATCAACTTCTGAAGATTCGCCCTGTAAAAATGCAGCTCTCACATCTCCCTTCACAGCATTCCAGTTTTTGAAAGAGCACATCGTCAAAAACAAACCCCTGGTGCGACGTGTCATCACAGGAGATGACCTTCGAAGTGTGGTTAAATCCGGGTCCTCGAAACCCACAATCACCAGTCTTGCTTTCGCTGATCCGTCTTGTTTGATGTTGAAGACCCACCTCATCCGAAGAGTCCTTTCTCGTGGCGCATGTTGGCCTGCGAGACGCACTGCAGACTGCTTCAGCCAATTCGAAAGCTCCTTTGCTTTCGCTTGCTGAAAATCTGGAATTCTGTGTTTCGGGATCTCACTCCACTTGAGCTCAACCCCTTTCTTGTCTTTCATACGGCCATTCACCCAGGACTGACTGTCTTTTGCAAACCTTTTCACATCGCGCTTGTTTTCTGGCAGAGGAATTTCAACAGAGAAAACCATTGCTGTTTGCTCACCTCGCTCCACATGGAAAACACCTTCGTCCTCCAGCAGCTCTGTCATGGTCTTTTCCATCAAAGGCTTCTCTCTCGCATCAGCCCGTCGTTGCGCCGCCTGGAAGGGCGGATACTGATCCAACGGGGAACCATGGCTACTCGAGGATGACGCGCCGGGGGGAGCCATACCACTAGGTGCGGCTTCTCCTACTTTCCTGCTCTTCTCTGGAGGTTGTCCAGCTTCCCCCCCCTAGCTTAGATTTTGTGGCGGCTGCCTTTCTAGGTTGGCCGTCCTTGTCAACTGTTGTTTGAGTCTTCTCAATTTCTTGTGCAGTTCTCACAGCTGGCTTACTCCTACTTCTACCTCTGCTAGCAGCGCGGCTTGCAACTCTGGTGGATCTGTCTTTTCTCTCACGAAATTGAGGCTTATCCTCATCTTCGTGCAAATCATCAAAACGTTGAAACTGACCTCTCTCCACCAGGTGCATTAAAGAGTTGAACGACCAGGGAGTGGTGATGGCCTCTGATTTTTCCGCCAACTTTTCACGCTCACTGCAATGTCTGAGTTGTCTGGGGCTACAACGCTTCAGGCGCCCCGCGCCAACTATCCATACCACCCCACCTGGTTTCCTAGTATCAGGTTCAATGTCTGATTTGGTCTCGGTTGCTAAGACTCTGGCTGGACCAAACCATCTTGCCAGACCCACTTTGCCAGTGTCGAGTTGCGGGTGAGAAGCATTCTGAGACCGAGGAGTCTTATACCTACGATAGTAAACAAGGTCACCAGGCAAAAACACTTCAACTCGCTGTGGCTGTGAATTCATGGCACGTGAGATGCGTTGGGCTGCCATGGATTTCCTGTAAACCTCTTCCGCCTGAACCCTCAAATTCAAATTGGCTCTAAGATCGGTACCCAAAATGGCTTCAGTGGAATGAACAGGGACATGGTTACCCCCTTCAAAAAGTCTACCCCAACTAGGAAGTCTCGCATACGCCCATTGACACGGTGCATATCCACCTACCCGATCCATCTCGTTATGTGCTTGAACCATCTGAAGTATGCCAAGGAACGGGTCACAGTCATGATTGCGCAAGAATGCTCGCACTGCAGTCTTGAGAGAACCAATGGTGCGCTCCACAATGCCAATTTGCTCGTGAGCTTCTCCCGGACACGGTCTCAACTCCACACCGCGAGACGCTGCCCACTCTTCCAGCTCAGTACCCCGGAAACAGCCCTCAGGATCCGTCCTGAGAACATTGGGAAGCCCATGATAGGCTATCCAGGAACGTTCCAGAGCCAGGATGATTTCTTGGGAAGTTGGATTCCTTTGTTCAGTCTTTGGCTGCCTGTACAACTCATGAGCAACCGCAAAGCGTGATGCCTCATCTATCATGAGCAGCACATGCACCACAACTTCTCCAAAAACAAATTGTCCAACATCAGCTACATGCATCATGTTCATGATCACCAGGGCATGACAAGTCAAGGGTCCTAGCCATGTTAGCACTGGTGGTTTTAATGGTCCATGGTTTCTTCATTAACAGACCTGAATCATGAGCCATGACACCTACCTGACATCCATCCAACCGTGCAACATGCAGCAAACCCTCTTGTGACAACGACCGGAAAAAGCTTTGAATCTCAGTGTCTTGCCATCCTAGATTCGTGCGTGGCCACTCCCAACCAATATGGCCACCCCGATTCACTTGTTCCCTAGCCAGCTTCAAACATCTACGGATGATTCGTTTGGCTTTCCGTCTCTTTTTCTTGGGATTCCTGATTTGTTCGAGATTCTTTTGATTCAAGTTCTGAACTGGTCTGTTTGGCCCACATGGCAACGAAAACCACATCCATTCAGGTCTCAATGCATTCGCAAAATCACTGGCTTTGAGATACCCTATACATCCGTGGACATGTCCATGTGATTTTCTAAGCCAACCCTGTACGCTCTACCTCCTTTCTGGAGGATCCTTTCAGTCAAACCACTAGTCGCAGAACAACATACCTCGATAAGATGACACCTGTTTGCCTCAATCGTGGAAAAAGCTTCAACCAATTCGTCATGAGCATGCTTGAGGTCAGCTGCAATCTTTTCTCGGTGACAGGTCTCGAGAAGGTGTGTGCAGCAAAACTCACAGTCATCAGTTTCCGCTTGAAGAGCATCATCATCTAACGTGACCGCATCGCTCATGTCTCTGGAGAGCTCACCACCTGGTAGTCTTCGATCACTTGGACTTCCTGCTGTTCTGGAATCTTCTCGTTGGCCCTTTTTGGAGTCTTGCGGGCCAGGGGAACCACATTGGTGGTGTCACCGGCGAGGATGACGGAGCTCCTGGAGATGGCTTCGCCTTGGCCTTCATCTTGGCCTTCTCCACTTGGATCTTGTCCAGCAACTTCTTGGCCGAGTTTTCGGCTGCTTCCAGGCCAGCGCCTTGGTGTGCAACTCCGATGGTGCCGCTTCTGGATTCCCGATCAGCTTCTGAACCACATCCTTGCCAATTGGACCTGGAGATCGGTAGCATCCCTTCGCACCGTGAACCGGCACGTACATGAGTCGCAGCTTGCATCGGTGACATGTCAGCCACAAAGCATGGCCGTTCATCCCGGAGTGACTGCCCCGTTTGAAACCTTCCGCAGAGTGGTTCCCCTCGCACGGTTTGCTTGTCGTGCGAGCATCCCTCAGGTCTGCAAACTCCACCCTGGTCCAGTCGAACTTGTCGAGCTGAATCTTGGAGGTCTTCTTTTGTTCCTCTTTCGGGGCAATGACTTGGGCTACCATCAACTTGCCGATCTCCTCGGCCACTTCGGCTTCCAATGTCGTGGACAGAGTTTCCTGGAATCGTTCCATGGCTGGAAAGACCAGGATCAGGAATGAGACGACTTGTGGAAGACGGTGATGCTTGAGGCTCTTCAACTTCGGCGGTTTGCAGAGAGTTCAGATTCACGTCGATGTGTTCCACTGCATCCGCTCCATCCGATGAAGTCCATGCACTACATGAACCTGATGTACCTGCGCCTCATGCTCACTCATGTTAATACCGTGTCTCATGTCCATGTCATGTCTCTCCCCAAACCCTGATTTTTCTTTTCCATTCCAGTCATGGCACAGATCCAGCAACAGGTGACCATTGTTACCTCGTTTGAGGGGTATACGGACACCAGGAAACAGTTTGGTGAATTCAAGGGAAGGTGGATCAACAGCTATCGTGGCCCCCAACTTTCCCAGGGTCTTGATTCCAAGCAAGATCGGCACTCCTGGAACGTCAAGCGTATAAACCCCTAAGGAAGTGGAAACCCCATCAATCGTTTGAGGAAGATGAACAAAACTCTCGGCCACCCGTTCTTGAGCATTACCAAACTTAAACCGTTTAACCCGATCCGTGCACACCCCAATCTCCTCAGCACCAAAGATCCCACGGCGACAGCTCATGACGTACTCAATGGCATCGAGGCTGCCAACCGTCTCTGTGGCACCCGTGTCCACCACCGCAAATCCCAAGCGCGAGCTATCTGAGGATGCCTCGCCGCCCCCAGAAGATGCTGCTAAGACCATGCGATGCACTGCTGACAAAGACAAAGTCGTTGGCGGCGGCTCCAAGTCAGTCTCTTCCAACATGAAAACTTCATCCGTCACGGTGGCAAAACAAATGGGTTTAGATTTGGATGCTGATGAAGTGGAGGACATTGAGCTTTGACCCCTTTTGGGACAACTTCTAAAATCATGAGAACGATCCCCACATATAAAACACCCAGAATACCCTGGCTTACCAACCGGTGATCCTTTACCTTTACCACCAACCGACTGAACCGCCAAAACATGAGAACTAGAGGGTTTGGCCATGGAAACTTTTGATTTTCCTTTCGAAGAACCTTTGATGAGTTTTCCCTTCAAACCATGGTAAAACCCCCTATTCTTGCCCTTGCTGTACACCGCATCTCGTGCCTCCCTAAAGGATCGCACCTTCTGATCAAAGGATGCATAGAGATCTTGGACCTCCTTGCCAGCTGTTTGATCTTGAAACATGATCTCCTCTACGTCTAACCACGGTTTCAAATCACTGAATGCTACCCATCCGTCATCTGTACAAGCATGCCATTCATCCTCATGCCACTGCCAATCAAAACGACCGTCATTGAACCAGGCTGTCTCATCCGACGCCCCGGATTGCTCCACTGAGGAAGCCACTCCAACCAGCTCATGAAACGCATCTTGATCAACCCATTGAATCTGTTGATCATCAGCATCTCCTTCCAGTTGATCGGTAACATCGTTCAGAAACAAACCCCAGGAGCCTTCTGACTCAACCCAGTACGTCCGATGTGGACGGTGTGACGGCTGTCGCTGCCGCTCTTGCAAAAGTTCTTCTTCCTGTTGGCGCGTCGCTTTTTCTATGCCCGCGAAGCGCAAACTATTCCCCGATGCAGCGACGATCGACAGCTTTGACGTCGATGGCAGGCCAGAACGCCTCATGAGGAGCCAACCCAGAACTTCTTCCGGCAAAATCGGAGGTAATGTGGCCTCCAAATCATCCCAATCATCCTCGGCATCATCATAGCCCGGTGAATGTTGTGATGGTGACCATCAATCCCACCAGTCATTGACATGCCAGTAGGTTGACCATCCACCCCAAGAGGATCTCCAGCTCTGCCAATCATCGTCGCCCCAAGAACTGCCCTCTCCCGCATCAGCAGCCGCATCCAACTGCTGTCCGTCAGCGTCATGACGTGGAGGGGTCTCATCAGGAGGTTCACGATTGGAGGGAGACAAAACCGCCTCCGACCGGCCAGCTGCACGCCTGGATGAGCTAGGGTATGTGACATCCATCCCGCTGTCTGGTGAGGGATCTGTCTGAATACCCACACTGCGTCTTCCAGCCTGAGTCCGGGACAAAGATCGCTGAAGCTTCTTGTAGTTCTCCCTCACCAAATTGCACCAACTGATCATGTCCATGCCAGGAACTCGACGCATCCTGACAAAAACTTCATCCAGATGCTGTCCCACGTCGGGGATTGGTAAACGACCGAGTCTCTGCTTCAGAAACTTGAGAAGGTATTTGGCTCCGTTCTGTTTTGACAGCTCATCGTGATCTAGGCTAGCAGCTACCTCCCATGCTTTACCGCGTAGTCGCAACACCAGCTTTGGCCCAAGCGTGTACCGCTTGCTAGCTGGGGTCTGGGAGTGGAAGAGCCTCACTTTCCGTGAGTAGTCGGCCCATCCTGAAATCTCCCCATCCCACGAAGGCACTAGATGCTCTTCCTTTGACCCATGATGCACGCAAAAATTGCGCTGATCAAAACCTGCACCGCTCTCAAATTACACTTCTCTGTACCAAGGCCACTAAGGGCTTCCGGTGGCCGAAGAAAAAATGAATTCAATCGGTTGTATCGCCTGTCGTGGATTTTTTTGCCTGGGCATCCAATGGTTTGCCCTACAGCATAAATGAAGAATAATGGCGTGGCGTGACCAAGGGACTCCCTTAAGGAGCAAGAATGGTCAAACTATGGGAAAGGGTTCGGTGTCGCAGTTCTTTCTTAGAAAGAGGGAAAAGCTGCACCCACGAACCACAAGGGCAATGCTTAAAGACACTATTGACGGCTTCACTGTTGGCAAAGACGAGTGCCCAGTCAGATGCGGTTGCGAAAGCGATCTGTATGACAAAGGGTTGGTATATCATTGCCAAATATCGAAGGCAGCATGCCATTCCCGAAGTGAAGGTGGTGAGTTTGGAGTTCTGGTCAGAAAAGTGGCTCCAGGAGCACATCCCATCCGTTTCGTCGAGCCAGGTGACTGCAAGCCGCCATCTGTTGTCTGCAACGTTGGTCAGTTGAACAACAATTGTGTGTACCCATGGGACGTGTGCTCGTAGAAGCATGTCCGGCGATTCCCACGGACTGCATTGCAAAAACTCCACGTTGCAGCGAGTGGAGGGTTGAAACCATTGAACGAAGGCTGGCTCAAGGGTTTTCCAAGATTCACGATCCAAAGCAGTGTTGAGAAAGTCACCTTCCAGCTCATGTGATGTCCAGAACTTGTGGAACAATGCATGCAGTGTCTTCCATGGGCCAGGTCTGGCTAACCCATGCGCATGAGTTGAGGCGAAAAGGCCCATCATCACTCGCGCCGGCTGCGACGGATGAGATGTTTGACGACAGATATGCCCCGTAAAGGTCCACAAGCGCCTAAGGAGCTTGGCACACCAATTGCCTGCGGGAGCGACATGAAGCAACCATCTTTTGACCACATGGCGCCTGAGGCGAACAAGTTGCACCGCTGTATCATAGCTGAGATCAGGAATGAAGAGCCCCAGCGCATCTGCAAAGACCGTGGTTTGGAGTGTTTGAATGCTGTTGAGTACTGCACTGTATGGGTAAAGGACGGGAGATAGCCACAGAAATACAGAACCAACATGTTTTGTCAGAAGAGTATCTGTTTGGGACGGGTTTGTCCACCAGCGTCTCCCCAAAATGCATCTGAGGCTACCCCATGCAGCATGGACTTTCTGAGCTACTTGTTGGCATAGCGTTTCCACTGACACCTGGTAGCCAAAAGGGCGGTTGAGGTAGGACGTTGTCTCGCTCCATTGAAACTCGCGGAGAAGTGGGCTTGTGCATTCTGTGGCGGCAGCACGTAGCAGCACTGCATCGACAATGACACAGCTCTTGCTAAAGTTGACCTTCATGCCAATGGAGTTCAGCATGTCCAAGAAGGAGGGCATCAGGGCGCAGGCTTGTCTCCAATTCTTAAAGCAGAGCATGATGTCGTCCACATACAGCAGAAGCCACAAGGGGTCAAAAGGAGCCCAGTATCCCAAACGCTCCCATTTTGTCACCAGTTTTGCCAAGAAGTAGTCCAACGTACGAGCAAAGAGACCAGCAGAGTGTGATCCACCTTGAGGTGTTCCAGCGGTGCTGCGGAGCTGCCATTCTTCTTGCAAGAACTGGAAGTCGAGAGTTTGACTGAGCAGAAGTTGCAGTAGCCGTTTTGCTTCCCACGCCGCCGATGGTGGTAAGGAAGCCAAAAATTGAGCAACACTGGCATGTTTGAGGTTATCGAAAGCTCCTTTCAGATCCATCTTGATAAAAAGGTAGTGTTTGTGCATCACCTTTGCGATACTCATCATGCTGTGCGCTGCAAAAAGAGCCTCAATTGCCTGCCCCCCTGGCACAGCGCCGAGTTGAGCAAAGAGAGGGCACCAAAGCGGCTGCAATCTCGTCATGAGGATCCTGCAGAAAACCTTTTGCAAGACCTCTAGCAGGAGGATGGGGCGAATGTCGTTTGCTGTCTTGGCCTGCTGGATCTTGGGAATCAGGCAGGCGACCCCGCGGGTGAGGTCTGGGTGGAAGTTGCCCTGCAAGAACATGTCGTTGAGGGCTTGCAGGAGTAGATGTTCCCCTTCTGTGTGTTGGGCGGCTGCAAGCAGAAATTCATTGGACATGCCAGAGGCTCCAGAGGCCTTGCCTCGGTGCAGCTTGAGCAGGGCAGTGTGGAGTTCTGGGCTTGCAATGGGTAAGGGCTTTGTGGCACCCATGTGCGCAGACAAAGTGTGAAGGGACTGGCTGCATTCCTGGTCGCGCTGCTTGGCAGGGGTGGCGGAGAAGACTTGGGCGAAGTGGGTTCGAACAGCGTCAGCGGCCGCTTCACGGCTGCCACATGTGTCGATCAAAGTGGTCCAATTGGAGGCCTTCCGCCGACGGGCTTTGAGGAAAGCAATGCTGGCATCGTCTCCCATTGCTGCATCATTTTGGAGATCAAGGGCCCATTGCTGCTTTGCTTCGCGCCTTTGATGGAGGATCTGCCGAGACAGGGATGCACGAAGAGTGGTGTCGAAGGTGTTGTTGCGAAGCTGGCAAAGTTGTTTCAAGGCTGGCGGGTCCACATATTTTTTGCTGAGGGCTCGGCGTTGGGAGCAGTGGGCCAGGCGGCATAGCTCGTCCCAGGCAGTCCGGGCAGGGGCAGCTGATGGGATGGCTGCTGCCAAAGCTTCGGAATTGATAGTCCACTTGGCAGTGTGGAAGTGGGAAGTGCGCTTGCGCTTGGACCCCTTTTCCCAGACTAAGTCCCAAGCGACCAGGTGGTGATCAGAGGGAAGGAGATCACGCATGTGGGGAACGGTGTATGGTTGTGCAGTCGCTGGGCTCAACTTCGAGTGCAGGTGCTGGGAGCACAGGAAGAAGTCATAGGTTTTGCGTTGCCAAGTGGGGCCCGCAGGCATGGCAATGTGCAGAAGGTCTTCAGCCGCCAAGCAAGCGATCTCCAGGGCTTGCTGGTCCATGTTGGGGCCATCGGGTTGTGAGTTCCAATCGCCTGCAATGAGAAAAGGAGTGCCCTGAACCTTTGCAGCAAAGGAGTGGATTTCCCGAGTGGCCGCAGCGTAGACGTCCATGTCGTTTTGATGGTGGGGGAAGTGGACGCCCAGGATCCAGAGAAAACCTCCCGATCGAAGGGCCAACTTCGCTCCAAGGGATCGCTGTCCCTTGTGGACTTGGAGAATTGCTGGGAACAGTGTTTTGTCGAAAAGAAGGGCTTGACCCAAATGACTTTGAAGGTTGTTGGTGCCGAGGATCCAGTAATTGGCGAGGTCATCACGAGCTGCAATCGGAAGATCGGCGGCATCAATGAGCAGCGAAGGGTCGGCATCAATTCCTTCAGGAAGGGCACCAACCTCTTGAAGAGCAAGAGCATCAAAGCTAATTTGTTGATCAGCCAAAGCCGCAGCAGTCTGGCAGATGGATTTTCCATGAACATTCCACGTGGCCAGCTGCAAGGGTTGCAGGCTGTGCCCATGGGGCAGCTGAGCATTGGCGATCTGGCATGCATCACGCTCGTGGTCGGAGAGTCACTCATTGGCCCTGGGCTGGGCCAGGAATTGCTGGATGTCAGGGACTGTCTTGCCAGTGACCCGTGCAAGGCGGGAGGCATGAAAGTGAAGGGAGGCAGCCTGTTGCAGCTTGTCATCGCGGAGATTGTGCTCACAGAGTGTGGCGTTAGGCTCTGGGTCGAAATCGCCAATGCGGGCACCAGCAACTCGGCAGTCATCGACCCAAATGAGTTGACGAGCCCAATCGCAGTCAACCTGCTTCGTAGACCCTTGGCCAAGGAGTGTTTGAACCAGATGGAGTGCTTGCTTTGTGATGCGGTTTTTGAAGCGAAGTTGAGTGCTCTTGTGGGCTGTGAGCCATGCGGGCTTGCCAGAGCTGGGTAGGACGAACTTGTCCTTGAATTGGGCTTGCCAAGAAAGGATTTGCTGTCGTGCATCTGGCTCAGGCAGGGGTTGAAGAAAAACGTGGCAGGTGGAGGAGCGTTTGCCGTACACTATGACTTCAACCACTTTGTCACTGGCTTGCATCTTTTCGAGCAGTTGCGTTGCCTCTGCATGGATTGTGTCACGCCTGGTGTCGACACCCCAACCGCCAATCACAAGGTGGTTCCAGTCAATGAGTGGGGCATCGTCAGAGGTCATACGCCGGAAAGGCGCAGCGGAGCGGGCTCGACGAGAGGTGTCGTGCACAGGTGCTGCAGAGTCACGCTGAGGTGGAGGAGCTGAGGGAGCCCGAGCAGAGAGCGATGAGAGTTGATCAACCTTGTCAGTCAGCACTCGTAGATCTTTTTGTAGCTGTTGAACCTGGGAGCCAGCACCTTCTTGATGTTGAGGTGGGGAAGCTTCAAGTTTCTGGATTTTCGCCTTGACTCCGTCAAGCCCTTGAGCAAGTGAGGAGATTTGGGAAGTGTGTGCATCAACTGTTTGGAGTACAACTTGCTGGTTGGCTTGGATCGCGTCCAGTTTTCTGCCAACTGTTCTGCTCAAGGTGTTTTCCAATCGTTCTGCCCATTGGTTCAACACAGTGTGGAGAGATTGTTGCTCCAGCGGTCCCATGGCAGTGTCAGCAGCAGGAAGGGCCAGGAGCGGGGGTGGGGGAAAGGCTGGTTCAAGGTCTGCTTCGCCTGGGTCTGTTTGCTCGTCATTGTTCCCGGTGATGACGACGGACTTGCTTTTCTTCAAAGGTGGGGAAGCAAGGGAAAGCTTGGGAGCAGCAGGAAGGCCGGGGGCAGCAGCTGCAGAAGCATCATCAGCACCATCATCATCTTCTAGATTAAAAGTGGGAATTCCTCCACGTTCCGCCATCGTTCTACCTTAACGATTTGGGCCCAAACTTGAGCCAAAATGGCTACGGCTGTCGTGGATGTGCCCCCAAAAACTGAAGGATTCGCCAACCGTCGTGCAACACGTGGGCACCACACACGCCCTGAGCCCGTAGGCTCCGCTACCAATGTTGGTAGGGATCCGACCTCTGCAAGATATTGATCTGTGAAGATGATATCAAGTTGAAAGATCTGATGGGTTTCGATCCGATGAAATGTGATCCCCTAAGGTTCACCACAAAGATCAGGCCACACCTCAAGTGACCAAAGAAGCAGCGCACCCTATGGCACGCTCACACAACACTTTTCCGAGCTCTGCGATATGTTATCGCGTTGGCAAAAGGGTTCCCTACGATCCAAGCCAAAGCAACGGAGGAGATGGTTCGACCTGTACATGACATGCAAGGCAAGAGGTGGAGGCAAACTGACTCTCTAAGCTTAGAATCTGACACTACACCATGGTGCCATTTTTGGCCAGGAGAAACACTGATCACTGATCCTGAGAGGGTTGAAGCGAAAGGTGTGAAGAACATGATGACAACATGACCTTACTCGTGACAGGAAAACACCAGTCTTCGAAAGTCCCCAGCTGCTATCTCTTGCTTGTCATGGGAATATATGAGAATACGGCTTTGCTCAGCGCTCCGTGCTGCTCAAAGGCAGCTTCCAGAGCCGCGTGCATCGCCACCAACGCTGGGTTCACTCGACCAAAGGACTTCTCCAGAGCTTCCCTGCGAACCTGGCGCCGATGCCAACATCAAGGCATATCAAGACATCGAAAAGGCATGAGAAAAAAGAGAACATCCACAAGACACCTAAACACCAAAATAAATCGGAGTTCGCTCCCTGTACGAGGTCAAAGCTATTCGGATTCCATTCTTTGAACTGTGCTGAGGGCACCCAGGACAACGAGACAATGCGAGACAGCGTTTTACCAATGTAAGGTCATAGTTAAAGTATGTTAAAGTATTAGCTCACAGGAAAAAGATGCGAGAATTATCGAGAATTGCTAAGTACCTGACTCTTTGGTCTCCCATGGCATCAGATTCCTTGGCCGTGCCATCCTTTCCATCCTTGGCATCGTGTTCTTGCCGTTGCATGTGGACTGCTTTGATGGCCTCCTGGATGACACCCAAGCAGACCACGATAGAATCCACGATGCCTCAGCGTCGCCGCTTGGCTTTCCCGCGGGAGTCTGCTGGCTTTTTGGGTGTATGCCTTTAAACTTTACACTTTACAGGAAATGCCTTACGCTTTGTTTTGTGAATTAAAATTAAATCTCCTTTTCTCAGTCTCTCCTCCGTTTCAATCCTCATCTGCCATCGGATGTCACAACATGGGCATCAAAGTTTCAAATACCGTATGCAAAAGCTGTGATGTGGCTTCAAGAAAGTCGCTCAAAGGAATGTTGCGAAGAACACTTTCTGCACTTTACAACATCTTTCAAAATTATTGAGATGTATTAGGTCCCCCTCAACAAAAGCGAAGCTGCCCTGGCTGCCAGTCGTCAAATGGTTTTGAGGCACTGTGTTCGCCGAACTTTGCGGTGAATTTGCTGGTGCCCTCGCTGCATGTGGCGATGCACTTGAAGATGCTCTGTGCAGGCTTTTGTTGAGCTCAAGTTCGCTGAGGCGACGAGTTGGACATTCAATGTCTGCACAGTTTGGAGGGCAAAATGGTCCCATGCAATCTGCAAACACAGGACAACGGTATGTTTTGGTCTCATCTGCGCAAGTGAAAGGACACTCGCACTGGCCGTCTTCGATCAGACTTGAATCGATGGAACAGCCTACTTGTCCTGGACATTGCACTTCGAAGCCCGGGTAAACCCGCTTAGGGCGACATTCAGGCCCACGCTCCACGCAGGCACTTGTAGGACATCCGTTGAAGCAGCTGGAACAGTCCCAGAAAGGCTCGTCATCACAAAGGGGGCAGTCACAATGGTCATCGTTGAATTGGTATCCCACATACTCACAGGTTGGCTCACCAGGAACTTCTTGACAAGTTAGAATTCTCCTCAGCTTCGCCGTGGCATGAGTGGTACTGGAACACATGGGTAAGACCCAAATCTGTGTTGCGACATAAGTGATTATATCTATATATATATATGTGTGTGTGTGTGTGATTATATAATATGTTATTTCATATTGAAAGCCATCGGAGATCAGGATGTTTTGGACTTGACTTGTTGTAAGGGCAGGTCAACTTTGATCCCGAGACATGCATCTCTCTCTCTCTCTTTCGCCATCACTGGGCAGCTGTTATCCTGCTTTCAACCAAGCATCCGGTCACAATCATTTCCAACTCCACAAGAGGTATTCGCAGGACATCCATAGCCAAAGGTTTCACAACTTTCACACGTCCAGTTCTCCTCGTCTGCACATGTTCCCGGGCAGTCACAACGGTTGTTGTTGAACTCCTCGATGCTGATAGTACAAGAACTCTCAGGGCACTGAAAATAAATATCCAAACCTTGGTCACATGGAATGACTGAAAACCTTCTACGCGAGCATCCAGGTTTTTTTGTTAAGCAGAACGCCATCAAAGAGATATAAAGAGATCCCAACCCAAAAAATGAACGGTCCCATCCTCTGTCGTATCCTCTATTCCGTCATCTGTTCTGTCTTCTGTTGCATCTACAGTAGATGCTCTCTTTCCTCCCTATGCTCTTCCGAACTAATTTATCCTGTCCAAGCTGCAACTCCTGAGGTTTTGGTTGCAAAACTCTGGGCAGGCACAAGTTGTGCAATCCCATGCGGATTCATCCTCACAATCTGAGCAATGACATGTTCCGTCATCTTGGAAAAACCACGGGATTTCGCAGCCATCGCGACATCGAAAGGGCGGGAACAGGAAAAAGAAGAACTCGCTAATGCAGTTTGACAAACCTCCAAATGTATCCTGGCCACAACTGAGCGGACATCGGCAAGTGGCACAATCAAATGAGAACCCTGGGGGACCTGGGCCGCCCAATTCGTCTGCGCAAGTGCCGGGGCAGTCGCAGACGAGGTTTTGTTGGAGTGATCCAGGCAAGTTACAAATCTGATCATCCGGGCTGCTAGTTGGACAAGAAAAAACGCCTGACCCATCACATGGGTATAGACTCACACCGCAAATGCTGGGACAAGAGCAATTCGAGCACGTCCAATTCGTTTCATCTGCACAGTCAGGGCAATCACAACGGTTGTCATCCACAAAGAGAGGGTCGATGCCGCAGTTGCTCCCAGGACAAACAAAGGTGGTCCCTTCGCTAGTGCCAGCGCCAAGGCACGAAATGGAGTTGATGTCCTCAAAGACCCAACACCACTCAATGTTGAAACATGTTGAAACTACAACTACAATTTGAGGTTACACTGAGTCTATAAATCAGACCCTGAGACAAGCATGCGAACATGCTTAGGCCACGCTAAGCCTGTGCCAAGTTTCATTCAAACCCGCACAAATGGTGGGGCATCCCACGCCCGGCCTGATGCCACCACCAGTTCCGCCACAGGTTTCGCAATCATGGTTGCGTTCATCTGCGCAAGTCCCCGGGCAGTCACAGAAGTCATCGTTCAAAAAGGCGTTCCTCAGAAATCTTTACCAGTTTCACGATCTGCTGTTATAACTGTCCGGATTTCAGAGAGAGAGAGAGAGAGAGAAAGAGAGAGAAAGAGAGAAAGAGAGAAGAGTTTAGTGTCTGACATGTTCTGCAATACTCTTGGTTTTTCAAACACGTGTCTTGTCTTCACTCCTGGTGTCATCAATGTAGTGAAAAACGCGCGTTTGTTTCTTTAAACGATGCCAATGTCTTTATATGTTGGCGCTTGAAGCCAGTTGCCACTTTCCGCCTTTATGACTAAATAAATGCTCTGCCTTGAGCGCCTTGCTATTCTTTGTTTCTGCCAAGGGCATGCGAAAGTGCAGTTGACTTCTCTTGCCAGTATGCAATCTAACAATCCATTTTAACGTGCAGCCTAGCTACAACTCTCTCGCTCTCTCTCTCTCTCTCTCTTTCTCTCTCTCGATCTCTCTCCCTGCACGTGTAGTTGCATAATATGCATATATGCATTTAAACTGAACTGTTTATGTTTAACAAAAAAAACCCAAAAGAAACAACAAGTCACCACAAGACGCGCAGGGCAGCGGCTGCGGCACCATTTCAACATAAGCCAAAAAGTTGTTGGCATGAGCTATATGTGCTGACCTGACAGGAGGGATACTAGATTTATATACATGAGAAAGAATGGGTACGCTTAACATCCATTTCTTTCAAGGATCTATTGTCATATTTCTGTGCATCTATTTATTTGTCTATCTATCTGTCTGTCTGTCTACTTACTAATTTGTTTATTTACTTGTAAGTAAATAGTTGTGTGTGTGTGAAATTCATTTTTTATGGGTTCATTTATTTATGTTTTTCATTTATCGATCAACTTGATTCATAAATGTAAATATTTTGTGTTTTGTTCCAAGTTTGTATATTGTGTTTAGACTATATTCATCAAATTATCTATTTATCTATGCATTTGTTCATTTGTTGATTTATCTGTGTTCTATCTATTATGTATTCATCTAGAGTTGTTTTTCTATTTATTGTCTAATTTATCGTTCATGTTTAACATTTATGTATGCATGCGCTCAGTTTACTTACTACCTCTCAGTTTAAGAATGTGTATATATATATATTATTATTTTAAAAAAATGTATGCATATTACTTGAACAGCTTTAGAATACTTTGACAGCTTTAGAATTGGCAAAGGCACGGAATCCAGCAGTCACTGTCAGGACATTGGTATTCCTCCTTGAAGACCGTGATCTGTTTGTTGTAAAGTCGATTGGTCAAAGCCAAGTCTTCTAATCCTTTTGGCAATGGAAAAAGTCCAAAGAATGTAAAAAGTTGCAGAGGTAACAAGTTGTTCTCACTGCTGACGTTCAACTCGCAGGCAACGAAACTACCGCAGGTTGATGGACAACCGGGACCTGTTTCCAGAGTGCCACCTTGACCGCCAAGCTCCTCACATCAACGGATACCAAGGGATAACACTACAGCGCAAGTGCAACTCTGTTCAAACATTGTTGGATTTCTGGAAGAATATGAAATCCTTTGATATGATAGAATAGGTACGGAATGGAACTGTGGAACAATCAAAAACTCCAGCATTGGTTTGGCGCAATGACAAATAAATATATATATATATAAGATTATATATATATATAAGATTATAAGAACCGCAAGTTTTGGCGCTTCGGTATCCTCCTGTTTCTTTGCCATCGCATTGAAAGCCTTTGGTTCCAGTTCGCTGCTGTAGTTCCACGGGGGACCAAAGTTGACGATCAAAGGAAGAACAAGCAGGACAACCAGAACAATGCAAATCCCATATTTTGATCCAACAAATCGTACTTTTTGTGGAAGTCCATATCGCTGCTCACGAAGTTGTCTCAGCAGCGGATCTGCATCAAGCGGCTCGTCTGCGTCAGTATTTACACTGACGATGTGATCCATAGCACCGTGGTTCTCTTGTAATCTCTTGTATAGCACCCTTGCACAATTTTGTGCGCTTGAGCAGTGTTGGCCAAGGCTCATCAAGGTTCCTGTTTTTGGGTTCGGCAAACAACTGAGGCAGCTCTTAAAGCTAGAGGCTGCAACATCTGAAGCTCAACAGTCTCTGCAAAAAAAAATTGAACAAAATCAAAGTGTCAAAGCACACGAAAAAAATCGACGACGCTATGTTCTGCTCACTCCATTCATCTGGGTTCATTCTCACAACTGAAAGTGCGACACTCGCTCGGGAGTATGTTAATGTTTAATCAGGGGAATTTCAAGCCGTTTGTTCAACGTATGGTATCATTGGTATCTCTACTTCAGTTGGCAAAACCAAGTGCCCTGGAAGGCTGTTGCGGAATCAGAAAAAATTGGAGTTGCAAACCATCACACATGCTGCAAGGGGCGCTCTGAACTGTGAGGGGATTTCAAGTTCACCTGCTCTTCCAGAGCCTCCCAATGAGACCTTGCAGGAGCTTCATCGACTTACCGACAGAGCTGCGTAGCTCGCAGGGCGCGGACAAACACCCAAGGGACCTTTCTTCAAAAGAAACAAGCGTCCCAACAGTCTCGTTTGATTACTTCTTCACAAAGCAGGTGAAGATAGTCAAGGCATGTCAAGGCCCCTTTCTTGGGGCGTGTTCCCATGAGCAGCAAAATGCATCAAAATGCAACTTGACCTGGCCACCAAGGTGACTCATGGTTTTCTGTCAAACGTTGGGCTACAATCATGTCATGCTGAGGTGTGACCATGAACCGTCGGTGTTTCAGTTGCAACCTTTTGTAGCGCAAGCAAGGCAGCAGATGGGTCTCAGAACTCAAGATGAACTCAAGCGTGCACACCCGAGGACGCAGAAGCAGGAAAAGCAAAGGCCAAGGAGGAGACGCTGGAAGGGGCGGAGAAACAAAGGATGTCAGGCGATGAGAAGCCTGATGAAGGAGTCAATGTGATGTGGAGTTTGGTGATGGAAGACTCTTTAATGAGGACGTCCAAGGTGAAATGACAGAGGCTTGTGTTCCCAAGCCAACCGTTGCTGCAATGAAGTTCGAGTGATTCGAGTGCTACAGTTCTGAAAGCTGCAAGACTTGAGGTTCCCGTGACTCCGCAGGAGACACTGGCTGCTGGTGCCCCAATCCAAGGTATTCACCAAGCACGAAGGCGCATGCCACGAGGATGAAAAATTGGGGTCGAAGCGTTTGAGACATGCTTTGGTTCAGCAAGAACTCAAAGCCTGGCATGTGATGTTTCAATACAATAAAGGGACACATCACAACCTTTGACGCCAGAGGACGCAAACAGTTTTCGTTCCATAGCGGGCATGGTTTTGTATTTAAGAAGATATCGTCCTGACGCAAGTTTTTGCATCAAGGAGTCGGCTGGGAGAATAGCGAGGCCTAGCAACATGGCGTTATAACACCTGATTAAAATTGTTCAATACCTGGAGGGTACAGGAAACCTTGGTGTCAACATTGGCAACCCAGTGCCTTCAGTGGATCCCAAACACCTTCTCAAATTTCTCAGGCGCAGATTGGGCAGCACATCATTCCCACAGAAAGTCTACGTGCGGTGACCACTTCCTCAATGAAAAACTATGCTAGCTCCCGAACGCAGAAAGTGGTTTCGCTGTTATCATGCAAGGGCGGACTGTGCAGTATAGTTTCCTGGCTGTGTAGTTGTTTGCTTACCGAGATATGCTTAATTTTTTGTGCCCACCCCAAAAAAAAAATGACGGGCACTTTGCTGACAACCCCTCAACTCGACAATTGGTGGCACGATACAAAGGCTGTCGCAAAATGCGCCATATGTCGATCGAGGGAAATCCCCTGGGTCCGATGCAGGAACCGGGAAGGAGAACTTGTGATGGCGCAGATTCCGACATCCTTCAACATCAGCGATGTGGATGTCAAACCCTTATAGCAAAAACACGTTTGCTGGCATGGGTGGGAGAAGTTGGAATGCTGTAGGTAGAGGGCCACGAACCCCAAGTGAAGTTGAACGTGGGGAGTTGCACACCCATTCTTGCGACTGACTACGTTGATGGATCTTGGGCCGACCACTGCAGCTGGTCAAGGCCAAGTGGAACCTTGCAGTGCGGTGGGCGACACGGCGATGTTTTGTGGATTTGGTTGTTTCTCCTCGCGTTGCCATTTGCATGGACGGTTTTTGGTTTTAGCATTCTGGTTTTGGAAAGGGACGGTAGGTGTTGTGAGCGCCAAAGGTTTCATTTTTTAATTTAGTTTCTTCCAAAGAAACTCTGCCCTGTCTTTTCCAAAACCCAATATTGTTGATGCTGCCACAAAAGCAGCCACTGTGGATTTCCAATAGCTCGCCCAAACCATATGTAACTACATAGATTCAACCGAAACAAACATGAAAGTTTTTCTTAAAGTCTCGTCAAAGGTGTTTTTAAAGCCTCTAGGCAAAAAGTGAATGTAGGGGGTACGAGTGCAAATGAACGTGGTGACGGACGTGCGTATGACCCAGCATACGTGTAAGCGGGCGAATGGACGGACGCGTGACGTACGAGTGGACGGACGTGTGTGTGTACGAGTGGACGGACGTGTGAGCGTGCGTACGTGCGTTGACGTGTTCACTCGTCACGTGCGCGCACACGTACAACAATAAGGTTGACTCGAGTCGGCCTTATTTCTGTACGTTTCGTCTTTTCCTTACATATTTAGTATTGGGAATCGAGTCGACCTTATTTTCGTACGTGGGCGCGCACGTGACGAGTGAACTTGTCAACTGCTCAACGCACGCACGTACGCTCACACGTCCGTCGACTCGTACAAACACGTCCGTCCACTCGTACGTCACGCGTCCGTCCCCTCGTATGCTTACACGTACGCTGGGTCGTACGCACGTCCGTCACCACGTTCATCTGCACTCGTCACCAGACGTACGCTCTCCAAGATCACTACCTTTTACGAGACTTTACAACAGTTAATGAATAGTCAAAGGAAGTTGGGAAGCAATACTTCCGTGTTACGGACAGCTAGAACATTCTGAGACTTGAAGTGATGAAGGGTGGTGCGCGACTGAGACTTGACCTTGATGAAGGGTGGTGTGAGACTTTACCATACATAACAATACATCAGAAAAGAATTGAACTTGATGAAGGGTGGCGTGAGACTTTACATTACATAACACTACATCAGAAAAGAATTGACTTTGATGAAGGGTGGTGTGAGACTTTACATTACATAACGATGTATATACATCAGAAAAGAATTTACTTTAATGAAGGGTGGTGTGAGACTTTACCTTACATAACAATACACCACAAAAGGATTGACCTTGATGAAGGGTGGTGTGAGACTTTACATCACATGACAATACATCACAAAAGAATTGATTTTGATGAAGGGTGGTGTGAGACTTTACATTACATAACAATACATCACAAAGAATTGACCATGATGAAAGGTGGTGTGAGACTTTACATTACATAACAATATATATATATACATCAGACAAGAATTTATTTTGATGAAGGGTGGTGTGAGACTTTACATTACATACAAATACATCACCAAAGGATTGACCTTGATAAAGGGTGGTGACGAAGGGAAGTGGTAGGAAGGGAATGTTGCATGAATGTTGCATGGGGGATGTGTTGGGGAGGAAGCTGGAGCACGAAACAGCGTGTTTTTCCCGAGAGCCTCTGAGCGCAGGGTTCTTCCAATAGTGGGGGTCTGTATCTCATCTTCTCATCTTCACACCTTCTCATCTTCACACCTTCTCATCTTCACACCTTCTCATCTTCACACCTTCTCATCTTCACATCTGCTCATCACATCTGCTCATCACATCTGCTCATCACATCTGCTCATCTTCACATCTTCTCATCTTCACACCTGCTCATCTTCACACCTGCTCATCTTCACATCTGCTCATCTTCACATCTGCTCATCTTCACATCTGCTCATCTTCACATCTGCTCATCTTGCTCATCTTCACATCTGCTCATCTTCACATCTGCTCATCTTCACACCTGCTCATCTTCACATCTGCTCATCTTCACATCTGCTCATCTTCACATCTGCTCATCTTCACACCTTCCCATCTTCACATCTTCTCATCTTCACATCTGCTCATCTTCACACCTTCCCATCTTCACATCTGCTCATCTTCACATCTGCTCATCTTCACATCTGCTCATCTTCACACCTGCTCATCTTCACATCTGCTCATCTTCACATCTGCTCATCTTCACATCTGCTCATCTTCACATCTGCTCATCTTCACATCTTCTCTCTCTCCTTTCTCTCTCCTTTTTCTCTCTCTCGCCTTCTTTATCTTTCTCTCTTTAGGCCGAGGGTGGTACCGGCGGTGAGTCACGAAACGTCAACCCTTTCGCACGAAATGAGGGTCGATCGGCAAAAACTGAGGTAAAATTGCGATTTGACTTGTCCCGGAGCAACCCTTTCGCACGAAATGAGGGTCGATCGGCAAAAACTGAGGTAAAATTGCGATTTGACTTGTCCTGGAGCAACCCTTTCGCACGAAAATGAAGGTCGATCGGCAAAAACTGAGGTAAAATTGCGATTTTACTTGCCCCGGAGCAACCCTTTCGCACGAAATGAGGGTCGATCGGCAAAAACTGAGGTAAAACTGCGATTTGACTTGTCCCGGAGCAACCCTTTCGCACGAAATGAGGGTCGATCGGCAAAAACTGAGGTAAAAGTGCGATTTTACTTGTCCTGGAGCAACCCTTTCGCACGAAATGAGGGTCGATCGGCAAAAACTGAGGTAAAACTGCGATTTGACTTGTCCTGGAGCAACCCTTTCGCACGAAATGAGGGTCGATCGGCAAAAACTGAGGTAAAATTGCGATTTGACTTGTCCTGGAGCAACCCTTTCGCACGAAATGATGGTCGATCGGCAAAAACTGCGGTAAAATTGCGATTTACTTGTCCCGGAGCCAACTCTTTCGCACGAAATGAGGGTCGATCGGCAA